AGAGAACAAGAAAATGCTTAGTCAGCAGCTGTCCTGTAATATTAAAAGGTGAAATGTAAGTAGGCACAGTGCCAGCGTCTAGATAAGCTCAATAGCATCATTCTCTCTTGTGGTGTGTGTACAAATGGCACAGAATAAGATAGAGACCTGTGGCAGAATTATGGGTATTCAAAAAGGTCAGCACATTTTGTCCTTTCTGTTGTTTATGCACTGGGCAAAAAAAAAAAAACCTTACTCAGGAACTATTAATATCAATTGAATTTATTACAATTTACTAAGCTCCAAGGCACATTACAGTGTTCTGTTAACTACAGAAATGTATAAAGGACAAACAGAGCATGTTTTCCATTTACAGCAATTTTGCTCTAGTGTTAAAAAGCTTCCGTGCATCAATAAAGCCAAAACGAAAACAAAAAACGAAACAAAAAAACATGATTTAAATTTTTCAGATCAATAGAAAAAAATGAAACATTTTTTTTTACAAAGTTGCAACAAAAAAGTCTCTCCTACATCACCCTACCATATTGCAAAAAAAATAAAAAGAAATAAAAAACAGGAAAGAAAAAGAGTGAAATACTAACATTCTGGGGCTGTAAAACATAAGCTGTCACCATTTTTTGTAACATCTTTTTAGGCATGACACTGGCCTTGGCAAAAGAAAAGGGATTTTTTTCTTTTTCTTTTAGAGAAGTGCATACATTTACAAAAATACACACCAGCAGCAGGTAATTGCTAAAGGTTATTTAACCATGTACCTAGCCAACACACTGTCAAAGAAATGAGAAACAGGTATTATGTGGTGACCAAACAATATTATATTCTGTTTTAACAAAAACAAAACAAAAAAGAACAGCTCTATCCTTCAAATGAAGAAGGGTACATACCTTTGTTTCAAAATATAGAAACATACGACGAAAATAAGGTCTATACATAAGACTAAACTTTTTGCAGTATTGTCCCGTGTGTTCTGTTTTGAATATTCACAATCTACATCTTCAGATGGCTGAACGGCATTGGATTTGCTGATTTGATTTCAAGGGTCTCTCTCCTTTTTCACTTTCACATCCCCAGCTAAAATGGTCGCAATCTCACCCTGCATAAATGCCCAAGGTACGTTGGAACCTACTAAAGGGCATTTCTCTCCACTGGGGCAATAGACTTCGCCAGTTGCCCCCTGAGCCTTGATACTCTCCCGAGAACAAGGGAAGCAGAACTTGTGACTGGGCACCGAGGGGCATTGCACGAAGTGCGTGTCCTCCAAGCGTTCGTGGCAAATGGTGCAGCACAGGGGTCCGCTATTGGCCATGGGCGAGTCTGGAATGTTTTGGGGGTGTACTTGGTCCATGCCAGGATGGGTGTTGGGGGGCGGGGGGGCCACCTGCAAGTTCAGATCCCCATTGCGGGAAGCCAGGCGACGTTGGCCTGGCACAGAGGCAGGGGACACTGGGCTGCTGCTATTTCTCCGAGTTGAGGTGGTTGAGTGCACAGAGCTGCCATCCTTGGGTGAATGGGCATTGCCCAGGGTATCAGCCACTGACATGAGTGCAGCCATGGGTGACTGCCCATTCTGTGGGGCCGACTCAGGTGGGGTGGTCCGGTTGGAATGAGGTCCCAGTGGTGGTGGAGGTGGCGGCACTCCACCAAAGCCACCTGCGGTCATGGTGAGCTTGAGTGCCTCGCTCTGGCTGGCCATCCACTGCTGTCGCTGCTGCTCGTCGCTCAGCTTGAGGCTGCCTTCCGACGCAGAGTCCGATGGCTCTGGAGAGGCCTTCCTCTTGCGCAGGCCACCACTGCTGCCTGCGCTGCTACTTCCCCCACCAGGCCCACGGCTAGAGGCTGGCCCACCTGACCCCGCACTAGCGGAGGAGGTAGGGACCCGGGGTAATGTGATAAGAGTAGTGGGCAGCATCGGGCAGGAAGCATCAAGGTAGGGCTGTGGTAGCATGTCAGCACCCACCATCTCTTTGAAGAAGCGCACTGACTCAGGCAGCAGGTCACCCAGGAGACGCCAGTCCCCTGAGCCATGCTTCTTCTCATACTCGAGGTACTTGAAGCCTGATGAAAGGCCACGGCCAAAGTCTTTCATGCAGTCCTGGTACATCTGCTTGGCCACACCTGAGGCACTGGAAAACACTGTACCGGAGCCACTCGGATATTCAATGAACAGCTTCAGCTCATAGTCCAGTCCAGGCTTAGAGACAGCATCAAAAGCAAAGACGCGGCCCAACAGCGCATGGTCCTTCTTGAAGCGCACCTCATAGGGGGTACAGCCAGCCAAGGTCAGCAGTGTTTCACGGACCAGCTTTGGTTTGCTGGCCCACTCCTCAGCACGGTTGCGGAGACTCTCGCTCAGCTCAGCCAGCGCCTCAGCATTGCGCTGCTTCTCCTTTAGCTCCCGCTCCTGATCGCCACTGCTTGACACGGAGCCTGGCCTCTTCCCACATGGGTCGCCTGAGGAGGAAGTTGAGGAGGACGAGGAGGATGAAGAGGACGATGATGAAGCTGGGGGGCCTCGCGGAGGGGGCAGCGCCACCCCAGAAGTGGCTGGCCCATTGAGCAGCGTCTGGGGCAAGAGGTTGGGTGGTACGTTCAGCTGGGCCCCGCCACTGCCAGGGGGGAGCCCACTCACCAGCCCACCGTGTGCCCCTCGTCTGGAGGATGAGGATGAAGAGGAATTGGGACTCTGACGATTCAACTCCGGCGGCCCATCGTCAGGCGCTTTGGGGAAACCATTGGGTCCGCCCAGGCCGTTGGGGAGGCGGCCCGCATGACTTCCACTCAAGCTGCCTGGAGGTGGCGGCGGTGGGTACTCAAAGCGGCCTCGTTGCTCGCTGAGCCCGTAGCGCTCTAGGCCCGAAGGTGCTTTCGAGGAGGCAGCGTCCACATGGTTGAGCCCCTGCTGCACGGCCGCCGCCGCCGCTGCCGCCGCTGCTTCTTTGGCCGAGAGTCCCACGGCCTTGACGCCCACTGGAGCCGGCGGCCCCGGCGAACGGCCGTCCTGGAAGCAGCCATGAGCCCGCTTGAGCTGCCGAGCAGTCTCGATGACAAACTCGATGCGGTCGGCACCCTCGTAATTGACACAGCCTCGGCACACCGGCTCGCTGAAGTCCCAAATCATGGCCCAGGGCATGCGAGGCAGGTCGCACAGGTAGCAGGACTGCCGCCGCGAGGACGACACCTGCGCCGCCGACATGGCTGCGGGGCAAAGGGGGCTCTTCTCTGGCCCCTGTCACTCCCTATTCCTGCCACCCGGGGGAAGGGGGGAGAGGGGAATCTTCCTATCTTCCTTCTTCCTTGCCCTTTACCTGGCCAGGCGGGAAGCTCTTCCAAGTGTCCTCAGGTGAGGGCCAGGGGTTCAGCCCCCAGCCACTTCTTCGGCCACTTCCCGGCACTTCTTCGGACGGTGTCTGTAAGCAGCGGCTGTTCTTCCCCCTCCTCCCCCTCCCCTCCCCTCCTCCTCTCACAGTGCAAGATGCGGGACGGAGAGGTAGTGAAGAAGGCACGGAGGAGGAGGAGGAGGAGGAAGGCGGGGGCAGAGAGGAGTCCACTACCTGCTGCTTGACCCAGGCGGGCCACTTCCCCAACAGTATGTTGAGGCGGGTAGAGGGGGGAGGACGAGAAGGCACCCACACAGCGTGCAGGCGGTCCGGCCGCTCGGGGAGGTGGGTGCGCCTCAGGTTGGCGGCGGTGGCGACATCATGGCAAGCAGCAGTGCCACCAGCTCGACTCACATCCTCGAGAGCCCCTCGGCATTCGGAGTGGGGAAAGCCGGAGTGTCACTCTGGACCGCCGCTGCCGAGTCTTCCAAGCGCGGCTCTGCCCCTCCTCGCACGGCGCTCCATCCGCCTCTCGCTCCTCAGTTCAGATGCCACCTGGGTGGAGCGCTCACGTCACCGCAGGGCGCTCGCTCGCTCGCTCCCTCCCCCTTCCCCCCCCCCGCTTTTGCTGTTCCCCTTTCTCGCACTGACTGAGTGACCGACCCACTAGCTTCTTCTCCCCCTTCTTCCCCCTTCCTCTGGGTGGAAGGACAGGGAGCCCACTTGTTCCACGGCTATTGCGCATGCTCGGCGCCCTGCCCATTTCCTCCTTCCCCTCCTACCCCCTCCCTCCTCCCTGTGTGTACAACAGCTGAAGCGAGGCGAGCTGCTTCTTGGAAACCAAGGAGATACGCTCCCTTTCTCTCTCTCTTACACACACTCATATGCAGACTGAGGCTATGTTTGGAAAATTAAACGCTGGGTCTCTCCCTCCCCCTCTCCTTCATGGCAGTTTTCCCCAAAGCGAGCAGGCAGCCAGAAAAGCACATGCAGAAGATGATTGCGCGTTCCTGGCTGAGTTTTCTGCTTACAAACGTATCGGGTTTTGTGTGTGTAAAGGGGCGGGAGAGGGATGATTTGGTGTAGATTTTCCCCCCTTTCCTTCCATTTTAGAGAACCGCAGCAGCGCTCTTTTTAATCTCTAGCAATGACCGAGCTGTCAAATACGGGTCTTTTTGCAAACATCTCTTTGGTGGCCCAATTTATGTGAATAACTGGGTGAGATTTGCGGGACCACTTGCAATACCGGAACGGAACTTTGAAAACCGTTTGGGTCACAGCCTCTTCATATTTTGCAAAGCTTGCATTCCTTTGTGATTAAGGTTCGGGTCCTGCGTAGGTGCCCACTGAGCACGGTGAGAGTTGAATGGATTCCATTCAGGATCTAAGGCTGCAAAGAACGTGTCCCTGAGGGAGTGGGATCTGTCTGCATCACCTCCCCCAAACCTTCAGCTGCAAGTCAGTAACTGGGCTGCCTTTTTGCTTTGAAGTAGCTGCTCTGAGTTTTCTATCCCCAAGAGAAATACAATTAGGCCCCCAGCACAGCCGCGCTCGGAGGGGGTCCTCTGCAACCGCTAGGAAGCTTAGCTCTCCTGGAGCAAGGGAGGAGGGGCCCGTCTGGTTGGAACCTGGCTTCAGCCGTCCCTCCCTCCCTCCCTCCGTCCCTCCGTCCGCCTGCGAAGCCCGATTCGCTGCCTGCCTGGCACAGCACTCCCCAGACTCGGGTTGCGAAGGGACCTGCCTGCGAGGCGTCCCTGGGCAGGCCGATCCAGGTTGCGTCACCGACTTGCTCCAGCCCTTGCCGAGTAATGAACTGTCCGGGGTGAGTCAACATTCCCCAGGGTGAAGAAATGGTGCTACCCGCGGAGAAATTGTAGCATATTATGGATGGGTTGGGCTGCATAACCCGTGCCTTGTAATAATATTTACTCAGCGCTTTCCTTCGATGCCAGGGGAGAGGGAAAACGAATGCGGGAAAGAGCTCTTGTTTTCATTCGCAGTGCAAAGGTAGGGTTGCGCCTTGCTACTCCATGTAAATCCAAAATCAACACCTCAGCCAGCACCAGCTTTGCGCAATAAATTACACAGGTGTTGTCAGATGGAATATCCTAGAGGACATGATCATTCCAGTCCTTGGATAGGAACGTTTACACCGTCCTGATAAATCCAGGAGCCTGTGTTAATGCAGTAACGGCAAAGCCCAAAAGCCTGGCCAAATGAGAATCCAAAGGCAGGAAAAGCCAGGAAGCTAAGGATTATGAGAATTGAAGCTCAATATAGGTAGAGAGCATAGATTGCAGAAGGCCAAATTAAACTTTTGCAAGGCTGCAGGTGTCCTTCGTTTTTAAAAAGCCCTCTTTTCACAGGAAAACACTTCTTAATTCCATGGAACATGCCCAAGGTTGCAAACCTAATCTGATTTGCTCCAGGCATCAGATTTGGTGATTGTGCAAGCCTCACCAATACCCCATACTCAAACATGGTTTATTAAATTAACTGAATTTCTGGCTTCACAAGGCATAGTAGCAGACTGAGTTGGACACATAACTAGGATAAATATGTGTTGGTGTGAATCCAACCAGTGAGGATCCCTGCAGGCAAATCAGGGTGGGGTTGTCACAGTGAAGATTGCTTGTTTATGTTTGTTTATGTTGTGTTAACCAATTGTGGCTAGATCTCCAAATCCTGGTTTAAAAAACCATGCTTTGGAACATAATGTGAACATAGCCTAAGGTTTAAATCAGAGGGATGAGTTGGAAGGGGAGATTACCCAACTAGTCCAGGTGATACTTCGTTCTGAAAGGCTGCATTTCCTAGGACCACTGTATTGAGGAAGAATGTCAGAAGAAATCTTGCCTTGATCCTCAGAGCGTGACCTTGGCTAACTGTCCTGAGAAGGCCTCAGCGCCTTTCAGCGACTACTGAATAGTTTAAGGTCGAGGCACGGAAGGAGGGGGTGCTGCCAGGATCCTGGCAGGAGTCTTTGGAAGATGACTAGTGCCATAGCAACAGGCACTCTTGTTCTCAAGTTGGATTGGGTTCTTCCTCCCCCAAATCCCCTCCCAGTCAAAATGCCTTCTGGTTTCAAAAGCTTCCATTCCTGGTTCTCAGTATCTGTGTTCATGTGACACTAACCAATAGTTAACTTGCTCATGGTTTGTTTGGTTAACCCAATGTTCTGGATTTGCATTTATTTAAATCATAAATGAACCCATGGTTTTACCCAACACCCTGGGCTAAAATGTCAAACAAATGTGGTTTGTTTGTTTGTTTGTTTATCACGTTTATATGGCCACCCATTTCGCAAAAAGCAGCTCTGGGTGGTGTATAACAATAATTGTACTTTTATTATATGGTTCAGTTTGTCACGTGAATATCATCCAGCCCTTTAGGGTAATTGGTGCCTCTATGTTACCAGCAGGTTTCTTAGCTCATCTGTATGAAATTATTAGATTTGCGCTTTTGATTCAGTGGCTAGAAAGAGCTAGTTCCAGACCCTAGATCACTTCGCCATTCTTTGTACTTGCAGATACCTGTTGTTCTCCCTAAAAGATCTTTCAACTTGGGGAGTACAGGTAGTCCCCAGTTTAAGAAGGAGTTCTGTTCCCGAGGTCTGGCCCTTAAGTTGAATTTGTATGTAAGCCAGAACAGTATTATTGTATAATACTGTATGAGCAGTATTGTGTAATGAACTCGAACTATTGTGTATTTAACTCAGATTTTGCTACAGTAGGCTCCGTTCTTAACTATGGGTTGTCCGTAAGCCAGGGGTTCTTAACCTGGAGACTCCCTGTATGCCATCATGCTTTGAAGGCTTTCCTCTCAGCAAAAGAAGGCTTTTCTCCACTGCCATATGTCATGTGCTTGCTGAGAAAGCTCCCCAGCAGGATCATTGATACCTATTGGGATTAAGGGATAGGTCAAGCCAGAAAACATGTGCCTTGCAAGCCCCAACACTTCAGTGCTCAATCAATCATTCAGTCAATATAAATGAATGGGAAATAAACAGAAATTAAATGTCAATCAACCACCCCAAACAAAAAGAACTCTCTTCCCTCAATAAGCAAGAGTGGCAAAGATGAACATCCATCTGCTGAGGGACAAAGATGCCAGGCCACACTTCTCCAAGCACCTTCCCTCAAGTGGGGGGGCTGAGTCAGTATTATCAGCAGCAAACTGGTTTATCAAAGAAAAAGGAGACTTGTGGGAGAACCCTAGAGATCACATTTTAAAAGAAGTTAGAAAGAACTGAACAGTTCATCTATTCAACTGTGACAATTTGCTTACAACAGTCAAACAATATGGGGGCAAGAAAAGAAGTCAAGCAGGAGGAGGGAGAGAAGGAGGTCGCCTGGCCAGCTGGCTGGAGAGAGAAGGAGTCAAGGAGCAAAGACAATAGGAAGAAGCCGCAAAGACTGCCATTTCCTGGTGCTCTCCAAATATTTCAGATAAAAACCCCATCATCAGGGTGGTGGGAGTTTTTATCCTAAACATCCAAAGGCCACCGGGTTTGAGGAGGCTACTTCCAGGCTTGTGACTTTTCCTTCTTTACATCGACTACTGTTCATGTTGCCCCATGATCATGCCCAATAGAAGCGAATATGTGTAGCTCAGGGTTGAACTGTGGAGTCCTTGGGGTTCTCTGAGCTTGGTTGCTTTCTTGCAAATGTTTCATTGCCCCGCTTAGGAAAAATCATCTTGTCTATGAAGAGTTAACTTAC